TCCAAACTGAGGAGGGTTTCCTAGTTATCTTTGTTATTATGTCTAGTTTAAATGCATTATACTTTAAAGTATACTAAGATCACAGTCCTTTGAAATTTGTTGAGATTTCTTTTTGTCTCAGAACATGGTCAACTTTTGTAAATGTCCAATTAGTGCTTGAAAAGAATGGACAGTTGACCCTTGAACAACACAGTGGTTAAGGGCACTGACATTCCATGCAGTCGAAAATCCACGTAACTTTTTTTTTAACTTTTTATTGCACATATAGGAGGTCTGGTATCATAGTGCCTAATTCATTTGACTGCTAACTAGAAGGCCAGCGGTTCAAACCCACCAGCCACTCCTCAGAAGGAAGGCTGGGTGTGTTAGGCTGGGTTCTCTAGAGAAACAAAAACCAGCAAAGCTTATATACATATATATAGAGAGAGAAATTTATCTTAGGAAAATGGCTCACAAACGTATAGAAGCCGGCAAGTCCAAAGTCCCTGGAGGAAACGTTGGGCTGGAGGCAGCCTTAGCTTCTGCAACCGCAGGGGGCCAAGAAGCTCAAGGCTGGCAGGCAGTACACTGGCTGTTGACTCCAACGAAAGACAAATCCAAGATCTCCAGGCCGAGCAGTGGGCTGCTCACTCACGGAAAGTTGTAGGCAGCACACCAGGGTCCCAATCCACAGAAGAATGTCTCTCTTCTCAGGATGTCCCTGGATATCCTGGAAGCAGGCCACACCCCTAGGGAAACTCCCCTTGGGCAGACTGGCCACTCAGAACACAGTCATCCAATCCCATCATGGGAACAACCACAAAGAACTGGGGTCCAGCCAAGTTGACACACAGCTCCAACTATCACACTGGGCAATCTACTTCCGTAGTGATACCACCTTGGAAACCCAAATAGGGGTCACTATGAGTGGAGTTTGACTCAACGGCAGTGAGTTTGGTTGTTTTTTATTGCATGTATAATTTTTTTTTAACTTTATTGTGATATAGGTGAAAGTTTACAGAGCAAATTCATTTTCCATACAGCAGTTCATACGCATTTTGTCTCATGACATTGACTACAATTCCCCACAATGTAACAGCTCTCTTCCCACTTCCTCCCTGTAGTTACTGCTTCCCTGTGTCCTTCCGTCCCATGAGCTCCCCACCCCCTCCCACCTGACTCCCTATACAAACACTGCCATTCTGTTCTCCCATGATTGATCACTCCAAGGAGTGTATCTACCTGATATATATGTTCACCCCATATGTCTGGCTATTGTTTGGCTAAAAGCCACAGGAGAGAGTTCAATTCCAGACCTGAAGAATAGCTAGGGGCAATAGTCTCAAGGCTCTTAACAGGCTCTATCAGACCAGCAAACCTGTTTTTTTTTTTTTTTCCTGATGATTTTGAGCTTTGTTCCACACTGTTCTCCCACTCTATCCAGGGTCTCCTGCACCAATCCCCCTCCGAATGGTTGACAGTGGTAGCCAGGCACCAGCTGGTTCTTCTGGTCTCATGGTCAAACAGGCTGAGGATCTATCAGTCCCTTGGACGAATTATTTCCATGCATCTTCGATTTTCTTCATTCTTCTTTTCTCTTCATGAGGAGGGACCCATCATTGCATCTAAATGGGCACCTGCAAGCTTTTAAGTTCCCATGTGCTACTCACCAAAGTATGCTGTAGAACAATGTTTTTGTGTAGTATGTTATTGCCAATCGACCTTGATGTCCACTGCAACCACGTGTAACTTCTGACAAAGTTAACTACTAATTGCCTGCTGTTGACCAGAGCCTTACCAATAACACAAAGCCAATTAACACAGCTCTTGTTCTACAGTTACTAGATTTTCACATGAAGACACTAATGCATATATATGATACATAAGTGTATTAGTTGTATGGCATGATCATTATTTACTACTCATTTAGTGGAAGTGGATCATCATGAAGGTCTTCATCCTCATCTTCATGCTGAGGAGGCTGAGGAGGAGGAGGAGGAAGAGGAGGGCTTGGTCTCGCTGTTTCAGGGGTAGCAGAGGTGGAGGATATAGAAGGGCAGGCAGGCACACTCAGTACAATTATGGAAATAAATAATAATTTCTGTCAGACTTTTTTGCTTTTTCATTTCTCTAAAAATGTTTCTATATAATATCAATCCCTCTTCTACCCTTTTCTTTAGTTTCAGTGCCCATATCAAAGTGTCCCATGTCATAAAAGAAGTCAAAAGCAGTCTTGAATAATCAGAACCCTTCTGCTAGATTGTCTAATGTCAATTTGTTTTCTGGTACTGCTTCTTTTAAGTGTTCTTCCTCATCGTCTGGCACTGGTTCAGAAGCACTCACCTCCATCAAGTTGTCTTCTGTTAACTCCTCTAGTGCGGTGTCTATTAACTCCTGAATTTCTCTAAGATCCATACCTTGAAAAAAATCTGCACATAAGTGGACCCATGCAGTTCAAAGTTGTGTTGATCAAGGGTCAGTCAACTATATTCTACAATTGTGGATGCAATAATGTCTATTAAGTGAAATTTATTAATCAGGTATCCATATTCTATCAATTACTAAAAAGACATGTGTTAAAATCTCCAGTCTTCTCTATCTAGAAAGCCTTTCCTCCTTAATTTCATGCTTACTAGCCCAGGCCTCCATCCTACAATCAAAGAGTCAGTGGGGAGCACAAACCGCTCTAGTCCCTGCAGACTCAGTCCTCAGTGAGAACCTAAGAAGACTTGATCACCAACACCTCCCTAAACCAACACCTCCCTAACACTATTTCAGATCTGGGAATGCTTCTCCTTCCTCTGATCTCTTATAGCATTCACTACCTTTTCATTAATTTTGCATTTACACAATCTGTCTTCATTGCAATTATTTGTGTTCATAATTTATCAGGTTTTACATTCAGGGAAGGTAAAAACTACCTTTATATATATATATATATATAACCGCTTTATTGATATATAATTTACATGCCATAAAATCCACTCTTTTAAAGTGCACAATTTAGTGGAAGACTATCTTATTTATCTTGGCATACACTACAGAAATGGTTGTCAATCATGGATGCACATTGGAATCACCTGGAGAGCTTTAAAGCATACTGTTGCCTAGCTCTCACTCCTAGAGACTCTGACTAGTTTTGGGGTGTGGCCTGGGCTTTGGGACTTTTCAAAGCTCCTAGAGTGATTTTCACTTATGGATGGGGTTGAGAACCACTGCCTTATTGTACTTTGTGTATAAGAGGCACCCAATAATTATTTGTTGTAATCTTCCATTAGCCCTAGCTTCCAATATCTAGTTAATTAACTCACTAAGAACCACCATCTGGGTCTCCCTTCTAACCCAACAATTCTTACCACATAATGGTTTGCTCTCTCTGTCTCTTCCACTTAGATGGTGTGAAAAGTGAACTTGGAGACAAAAGCATTTAGAAATGATGTTTCCCTGCAGAATTCAGTTGAACTGGATCACTGAATAAGAAACAAAACAGGTATTAAAGGGAAAAATGTAAAGGAAAGATTTACCGTGTTTCCATTTGTCTCTTATAGCATGGATGATACTTTCACATGGGGAGAGAGATGCCACAATGATGGTGACATATTTCCAAATTTCTGCACTCACAAGTCAGAGAGAAAATGGTTTTCGTTAGGAATTGGTAATTTATAGGGAAAGCACTGGTGGAAGTGGTTGAGTGATTCAGCTTTCATTTTGGTTAAAAAGGTCTGCAGCTGGAACCCACCAGCCACTACGCCCGGAGGATAGATGAGGTGGTTGGCAGTTGGCTCCCATAAATATTTACAGCCTTGGAAACTCTATGGGTTCTACTTTGGCTTATAGGATCGCTATGAGTTGCAGTCAACTCTATGGCAGTGGGTTTGGTTTTGGTTGGAGGCCAGATGTGAAAGAGTAGTTACTTTGTTTACTTCAGAGTGGACAATGTCTTTGTTGTTGTTTCTTCCTGTGGGACTTGCACACTCTTAAAATGGCAGCAAGACAGTCTAATTTTTGCTTTTAAAGTTGTGAGCTGCTCGAACGTAGGGACCGGTCAGGTCTTATACATTATAGATTCTTATGCTGGCACATGTTAGGTGCTCAATAAATATTGGTATTATGGAAGTGATGACATCTTACATGACAGTATTATACATAATTTTAACTGAGCTGCAGTGTTTCCCATTTTGATCCTTTTATGACACTCCGAACTGGGGCACTCCCTAAACTGCCTGGGCTACAACAAACTCAAAAGAGACTTTTACATTTACATAAACGGTTGTTGCAGGTAAGGGAGGAATCTGTGGAAGTAAAGCCTCACGTGAATTGGTCACTCCAGATGAACACAAGATTCTCGCGTCTGGGAGCGAGGCCGTTTTCACAACATCACTTAACATCTGCCGTTACCACCTTCTCCTTACAGCCTGATGATCCCAGGGGTACGCGTGGACATCCAGAGCAATGCTCCCTAATTGGCAGCAACAGGATTCCCTCGTAGGCGGGTTACGCCCCAGATCGCAAAGCGGAGCAATTCAGATATCAAGAAGACAAAGTAAAACCAGTCGCACCAAGCAGAAGCAGCGTTATTTAGGCAGCCGGCTACTCCCCTAGAGCCTCCACCCCGTCCCCTGGGTCCGGCGCTCAGACGGTATTTGGCTCCCAGAGCCCCAACTCCCTCCACGTGTCCTCTCTTCCCAGCAGCCTCCTTTGCTGCCTCGGGAGGAAAACCTCCTGACAACTCGCAGTCTGTGGACTACGACTTCCAGCAGGCACCGCGCTGCCTCGCTCTCCGCCCCTTCTGCACGGGACACGCAGGCGCCCTGGACTCCATCAACAAGCCAAGTTGGCTACGTCTGGGTAAGGTTCCTGACGGGATTTGTAGTCATTTTGGCTCCAGCTGGGCTGTCAATTGAAGGAACGAGAACTACAAGTCTCGGCGGCCCCAGCGTGACGAGTCGTCACGTGGCAGGGGGCCGACCGGGCGTGCGTGCCGCCGTTGATCCGGTGCTGCAGTGAGGAGGTGGTTCTCGCCGGTGTTGTGTGAGTGAGAGAGCGAGTGAGTGAGTGAGTGAGTGAGTGAGTGTGTGTGTGTGTGTGTGTGTGTGTATATGTGTGAGTGTGGGGACTCGGCTTGTTGTTGTCGGTGACTTCCCCCTCCCCTCCACCCCTCCCCCTTCCCCGCCGCCGCTGCAGTGGCCGCTCCCTGTGCCGTAGGAAATGAGCGATAACGATGACATCGAGGTGGAGAGCGACGTGAGTCCTGGGGCTTCTTTCTACCCGAGCGGGTTGTCTGGAGGGCACAGCGGCCGGGACTCTCAGCGGGGCGACGGCGGGTGGGGCCAGGCTGCCGCCGCCTCCTTTCCCTTCTCTCCGGGGCCGAGACTGCTTCGGTTGCGCTCCCGGCTCGCTCTCTTCTCGGCTCCTGACCGGAGAGCGGCCTCCTGGGACTGGAAGTGGGGAGGAGACACGCGGCCTCTGGTACCTCCACTGCCCCGTGGAGGAGAGTGCCCCCTCCCACCCTGTGCCGTTCAGGATCCGGGGGACAGCGATGGGGTGCTCCCAGGATCCCATTGTCCGGAACCAGGGGAAGGGGACGGAACTCAGGACCTGCCCTCTCGGTCCGCGATCCCCTTTTTCCGTGACCCGCGGATCTTGGGGAGTAAGGGAAGGTGGACAAGGGTTGGGAGTATCCAGAAGCCTCGAGCTGGGTCCGAGGGGAGGAGACAGTGTCCAGGACCCCCTCCGGCCCGGGTCGGATCCCGGAAGGAGGGGCGGCGCTCGGGACCCCTCTGCCAGGCTGCCATGTCCGCTGGGGGTTGAGAGCGAGGGGTGGAGAGGGAGGGAGGGGGGTCGGACTGACTCCCCACCCGCCGCTTCCTCCGCCGCAGGCATTTTCTTTCTATTATTGAATATGAAGTGTAGAAATAACTTCTATATTTTCTATTTTTTTTTTCTCTCTTATTTCAGGAAGAGCAACCGAGGTTTCAATCTGCGGTACGTCTCCTACTCTCCATTTCATTTTCGTTTCCGTTCAGTTCTAGTACTTTTGGGGGTCAGAGAAAAAAAGAGATCGTTCTGTTACTTTAAATATTGTAGTAAACTCTTCTGTTAAGCGCTAAGGTCAGGTGGGGTCTTGTTCTGGGATTCTAGGTGTAGGGGGAGGGTTGCAAATCTCATAATTCTAGATTCTCAGGTGATAGGTTCCAGTGACTGTAAGTCAGTGGGAGGGGCTGTATGCAAAGAAAGGAATTGTTCTAGTAGTTTTCAGATGGGGGATCTGGCGGCTACTATATAAGCAGGAAATGAGAAATAGAGCATTTTGAATTGTAGTATTTCAGGTCAGTGTGGTCAGATGATTTAGAGCACGTTTTTTCTAAACAAAATCTGCATCGTTATGTGAAGCTGAAGCCACATGCAATCACCTTTAACCAAAAGTCATGTGACTTCTCTAGACCATAGAATCTGGCACATGATACTCTAGTGCAGAAATTGGAAATGTAGAGGCGCCAGAGGTTGAATATGAAAGTGTCACATGCAGCTTATTGTGGAAATAGGGAAATTGTTGAAGAAGTGGCATTGGGGAGACAGATTTGCAAGGAGGTGATGGATGAGCCCATACAATGTTATCAGCAATTCTCAGGGTTTTGATATTAATTAAGGTTCTTAGTACATGGTTCTATGGATTTAGAGACATTAATCTCACAACTCTGGAGACTAAGCCAGTACTGTGGATATTCCATGAATAATAGAGGGGGAAAGGAAATAGACCCCCCCCAAAAAAAAAAAATCAGAATCAAAGTGAAGAGAGGTAACTATATCCAAGTATTCTAGTATTTGACAGTTGGGAAGAAGAGTATAGAATAGGAGTCAACAATTCAGATATCCATGTGGGCCAGGAGAGATAGCCAGGAATAAAGTAGTGGGAAGAAGTGAGCACTGCAGTCCTAGGGAGCATATACCTCTTCTAAAAGGCAGCCAGTACTCAACTCCAGTGGGTGTTATGATGTGGGAGTGCGGGCTCATGCTGCCAGATTTCCTTTTCTCTTTTCCCATGAAAGAGTGGGAATCCAGATTTTTATGTTATTCTGATATTTAAAACGGTATGTGGAACAATCAAGCTGTTTGATTACAGTTTGTAGGATGCCACTTGGATCCCTCTGGTATAAGAACTTTATTACCTACCACAGGATAAGGCAAGCACGCTTGTACCTGCTCTTCATTAGAGCAAGCTTAGGTTCTGCATGTGATACAAGCAGATGGGCATTAAGAAAAGTTTTACTTTTTTAAGAACTGGTATTACCATAAAACCCATGAATATAGTTGTCCCAGCAGTCCTGAAAATTGTTCTGGAAAATAGTCACTAAAATGAATTGTTTTCCTTGATTTCACTTTGAAGTATTGCCACATACTTATGTATTTGAAAATTGAATTCATTTTTTTTTTACTTATTATGATCCCTAATAATATACAGTCTGTTTACATTAACTGAAGTTTCATGCTTGGGGCCCAGTCTATTTAAAACATTTTTTCCTTCCAAGTCTCCATGTGTAAGATCTGCACCAGGGCCTGATAAGAATTGGTGGGTAGGGATTGGCTAGAGCTCTCATCTGCTTCCTTTGCAGAATTGTCATTTGAATTGGAATTATTTTAGCTTTCCAGTGAGAGAAAAGTTTTCTTCCGTGTGAGATTATGGCTCACAGTTCTTGAAAGGTTTTTGCTTTTCAAAATACTCATCCATACGAGTGTCGATATAAATTGGTTTATTTAGTTTTTAAAGTGTCTCTACTCTGATAGAGTGCTAATTTCATTGTTTTGCCTAAATGTTTTTAGTTTAGTGTTAAGATGCGAAGGATTTTTCCCTTTGATTTTGTGGGTAGGTAAGGGGAATAGGTTTGACCCTTTGTTTTTAATTTGACATAATTTGTTGAGATTTTTACATATTACCTGCTGCAAGATAATCATAGCAGCATGGAGAAAAAGGAGATGTGTCATAGACTAATTTCATAGGATACCAAATCATGATATGAATGAATAGCATAAAAAGGATTCCATTTTTTTCTTTGTAAATACATCTCTTTACTCTCTGAAATGCCATATAGATAATAAATATATTTTTAAAATTTTGCAGGGAGTACTAATAAGCTTTGTCTTAAGAAAAACATCTAGAAAAGGATGTAGACTGTGAATAACCAAATAGTTAAGACTCTAGTCCAATTTTTAAAGTTATTTGGGAAAGGTTCTGTGGGTCCTAATATAAAAAGAGATATTTGTGTTTTGTAACCTTACTGCAGTACGTACTGCCTTACTACATGAGAAATGTGGAATAATCAGCAAGAACAGAGTTAGGAAATGAGGTTAACTGTAAGAGAAACTGAAACTGTTTTGACGAGTATTTTTTTGTTGCCTCCGTGCAAATGGAAAACAACTTCTCCAGCAACTAGTAAACTTTGTTAAAGGAAGTAGCCCCAAACAATATTTTTAGTACAATATTTTTATTACTAAATTCCTCCGCTGATGTTATTTTATTTTTTTGGAGTGGAAGAGTTACATTTTAAAGATAAATTTCTGGGACAAGCATATTTTATGCAAGGGGTTCCTTTTCTTTCTTTGGGAAATTTCTTTGGGAAAGAATAAAAGAAGCTCAAGGCTTTTTCCCAACGTATTGGTCATCATGGCAGCTGAGTGTGTTGGAGTTACAGTGTGCCTATTGGGGATTGAAAAACAGACCTGTGCAGTTCCACTTCGAGATATTTGTTATGACATAGCTTTAATTTCTCAGATCTCTTACCTTCTGTAGGAATTGCAATGTATTCAAAAGGGAATGAGTTTGGTCACCTCTGAGATTGGGATCCACCTGGAATTGATAGTCTCCCTTACCCGAAATCAGTTGCACAGCAAAAGTGCTGCATGGTGCATGTCCTTGTCTTTGTTTGGAGTGTTGACAGTAGTGTGGAACTGTCAGGTTTCGTTCCTAAGTATGCCTGTTTGGTAGAGGAAATAATATTCTTATTTAAAAAAAAACTTCTTTTTTTTTTTTTTCAAGATGCTAGTGGTAGTGAAATAATTGATCAAGAATTCCAACTTACTATTTAATTTACACTTCCTGACCAAGGAAGACGTCCTTTCTCTTAGATGGCATGTTTTGATAAAAGTGTTCTTAAGTTTTTTCAGGCACCATATAATAGACAAAGTCTGGATAACAAACATATTCTTTAGATTACGTTGGGAATACCTTGGCTTCAAGCAGGAGAGGTATTGGGAAATTAACATTAATAATTTCCTCTTTGTAGTTGTCACTGGGTTTATCTTATGGCTGCCTGTTATTTCATGTTGCAGTTTTCATGTTGATCAAAATGAATGTGTTTAAGTTGCTTAGACATTCAGTTTTATTTATTTTATCTGGTTCTCATCTACCAGATAAATAGATATTTTCTAATGAGAATTTTGGGCCTGTGTATTTCCAGTGTTAATGTTGTTAGCGTTTAATTAAAATAGCTTGATAATAATCCTAAGCAGTACTACCTTCCATATAGAATGAATTTTTCTTATATGTTTAGTGGACAATTCTAATTCTCTATGCTGAGAATTTTCTATCTTGGCATTAAAATTACTCTAATTAGGTGGGGCTAGTTGTCAGGAGCCTGAAAGAAATGGCCTTGTGAAGAACCTTGTGCATCCTTAAATAATGAAGCATTTATTTGCCCATACTGTTTGCCTGGAATTTGCCGGAAACAGGGCTGCTGACTGATGTAATACTTTGAATGGCGATGCATTCTCTATGAAATAACTTGGAAGAAAATTTAGAAACATTTCCCTCAATTTTGACCAGACCTCTTTAGCTTTGATGACCTCTTGCCAGTTTAGCAACTTCTTGGCTAACAAAATGACATTTGCCTTTAACATTTAACAACACTTAAAGCACACATGCTTGTTAATGTCAAAGATGGACAAATTGTAGGGAAGATTTTTATTCTGGCTGCCAATGTGGAAAGTTTGGTGGAAATAAAACTCAGAGGTTGAATAGAAACCTTGGCAGAGATGACCAAGCTGGAAGCGATTTGGTGCTGGAGTAGCTAGCTGTTGAGCATCTGGGGGCCAGTCTTCAGTATTGCACAGCCCCTTAGTATTTGTGTTAGCCTAAGATACTAAGATACTCAGGAGCTCTGGTGGCATAGTGCCTAAGGCACCTGACTGCTGACCAGAAGGCTGACAGTTCAAACCCACCAGCCACTCCTCGGAAGGAAGGTTGGGCAATCTACTTCCGTAGTGATACTGCCTCGGAAACCCAAGGAGGGGTCGCTATGAGTCGGGGCTGACTCGACGGCACATAACAACAACATAACAACAAGATACTCTAAAGGAAAAGTTTCTGGTAGAAACTGCAAATCCAATGTACTTGAAGCCAGTGCCCTTCCTTACAGGATGGGCACACAAGGTATTTGGGGGTCTGCTGTACAGCACAAGCATACCTTGTCTTCTAGACTTGGGCCTGAGTGTTTAATTCATTCCACAAGGGTGCTGTCATACCACCCGTTTTCATTATCAAGTGTCTTTCTCAGTGGAGGGAAGAGAAAGCTGGCTCATTTGAGGTGAACTTTGTTTGTTCAAGACACAACTACTGGCTGGCCTGCCTGCACCTAGGCCCCCACCCCTCCCTTCCCCTATCCCTCCCCGGCCCCACACCTACCCACCCCCCTCAGCCTTTGAATCAGTTTTGAATTTGTGGGAGGATCTCAGATGCCTCACACCCGAGAGTCTTCACCCAGTTTTTCTTTCTCAGCTCTGAAATCTTGGCCCCTTCAAAAAGGGTTGCCAGCAAGTGAAGACAGTTAACAAAGCAGTGATAAGTCTGGCAGCAGGCCTTCTTTTGAATGAAAGGGAGTGGGGGTGGGGAGCAGTGTTATCAGGCTGGATGGATCTGTGGTTTGGAAATGTTTCTCAAACTGAATTTGCAGCCTTATATAATGGTTTTCCATGCGATCTTTCAAGCCACTGTAGATACTATTCAGTTCAGAGTTGCTTGGAATGAGACCTGATAGTTCTGCATATTTCTTTCTTGTTTTTACAAATGAGAGCTGGAGAGGAGGAAAATACATCCTTGCCATTGTCTCAGGGAACTTTAAAATTGACTGGTCAGGCGTAGCTGCTCAGGGATGGACATGGCAGCGGGGATTGGTCTAAGATTCCACTCTTCTGCTAGTTAAATTTGGCCTGGAACCACCACAGAAATTCCATCCACTACTTTGAGAACTGTCCCCAGCCCAGGCTTTCTACCAGGCAGTAGACTACTGCCTTTCCTTGTTGAGCCAACTTCTCAAACTTGGCTGGCTCCCCAGATGAGGAGCCAAGATTTCTGCTGATGGTCCACAGCCAAGTTCACTTACAGTCCTCTAACCAAAGGACTTGTCCATTTGAGTCCTTTCAGGGCTCAGTGAATGGGAAGGGAGTAATGCATTGTGGGGATGATTTTGGTGTAAGATTATACTTAGCTCCACCCCTTTAGCGCAGGCCTGAGTGAAACCAACTCCAACTTGATTCTGTCTGAGACTTGGAGGGCTCTCCCAGAAAGAAAACAGACACTTAGAATTTTATTTGTATCAACAAGAGGGATTGTGGGTAACTCTCTGGTGTCATTGCTTCTGTGCACAGCTCTTTAACCGGGAGGAGGGCCAGAAATGGGGTGATTTAGTAGACAGAAGTATCTTGGGCTGCTGCTGGAAACCAAAGCTGGGCTACTAATTTACATGTAAATAAGCCATCTTAAGGGAGTATATCGCCCACACAAGAGAGTCTGCTACATGCCAAATGTCATCCCTCAACTTTCTAAGCTCTTTAGTTAAAGTCCAAGTTAAAAGCCAGTCCGGTTTACCAATGTCTAGATGGCTAGAGGGAATAGTAAGTTAGAAAAGGATTGGGCGCTTAGATAAGGTTAACTCCTTGACACTTTGTACTGCTATTTCAAACTACTCTGAGAAGGCATCTGCCGTTTTCTTGCTATAAAGTTGTATGGTACAGAGTAGCTCTCTAGCCTCAGGTTGTCTGTTTCAAGCTTCGTTGTCGCTCCAGTTTCCCTATAGAGAAATATAGTATTTCATGTGTTATGATGGTTCAGCACACACTCATTTTATAGTGAGTTCAGACTTTGTAAGGAGAGCTTTCGAAATGCTTCAGCCCCTGCCCTGGAAAAGAGTGATACGCTATGGAGAACCAGGTCATGATGGGAAACATGTGTCAGATTCAGCAGAGCTGTAGGTGAGGTGTTGTTCTTGAAAGACCAGGAAGTAACTAAAATTACCACAGCTGTTCCCCAACCTCCTCTTCCTCTGTAATGACTCAGACTTTTAGGATAAGATAGTAAGAGAATTTCAAGTCTTTTCATCCCCACATTGCTTGTCTTGAGAGTAGATTTTTGTCTGTGTATCTTGTCAGGTACAGAGATTTCTCTTGAGGCACATTATTCATGTGCTAAGCAAGCCAAGTTAATTACTCTTGTTACTTCATTTTTAAAATTCCTAGTGCTCTCTCTGGGTGGATTAAAGTTACCTGATCTTCCCAGACACAGATTTCCTTTTGAGGTAAACTGAGTGCAATCTTAGGTATTCAGGGTAAATTCTCAGAGTACCTTTATTATAATTCCCAAAGTGTAGATGTGACTTAAGTTCTTGCTTTAGGTTAAGGAAGTGTTTGTGTTCCATTTGGAGGAGATGCCCTTTGATGGGGACCTGCTGCGTGGTCTCGTAGTGCTCTCCAGCACTGTTGCTTCAGGCTGAAGTGCGTTTTGCCATTTTGATTGTTGGCAGTCTTCCTCTCTCTCCAGCTGACTGTTCGTCTCTGTGATTCCAAACAGGACCACGATAAAGATTTTGGTCTGTGAGCATTTAGATAATGCCAGATAAGTTTGACCTGCCACAGGTGCTTGAGGAAATTTATTCAGAGCATGTGGATGTCAGAAGATCTGCCGTCTCTGAACTGTGTCTCTCTGGCACAGCCTTTGGTAAGACAGCACCTTGGATCTGCTGTAAAAAACAGGAACTCAGAATGCTGTTGGCATCTTTAATGCAGCTCTCTTGTAATGATCTCAGATTCATACATCAGGATTTTCTAGAGGTTTCAGTTTCTGTTGTAAAGTTCGGTAAGAAGATCCTAACCTGGTACCTTTAGTGGGCTGGAGACCAGACAGAGACTCACGGTGATGGGTTTCACATGGAAAGAACCGCTACACCTGTGACTTAACTCCTTCCCTGGGCACCCACCATGGGGACTCTCTTACAGTGGGGGTATCACATCCTGTGAAGGGGCCTGCTGGAGCTTTTCCCTAGCCACCTCCCAAACACGGACTGGCAGCTGTTTTGTCCCATAAGTAAGTTGGGGGAAGGACTGGTGTTGCAGGAGAGTCACATTTTGTACCCATGAATAACTTTTATTTTACTTATGCATGAGCTAGATGCATCGAGCTACTTTGGATGTTCCTGTCGCAAGCCTTGCTCACCCCTTTCTCCCCCTTTAACAGAGCCTAAATCTGGAGACTCCTAACTGCCCACCTCAACAAATCCTTCCCATCTAATCGCCAGGGACAGCGTTGACAGCATATATTTCCAGGCCATACCCCACCTGCCTTGCACCATGAAAAGAAATGACAGTTTTAATGTGCTCTTTCTTCCATTCTTCTAGGCTGACAAACGGGCTCACCATAATGCACTGGAGCGAAAACGTAGGGACCACATCAAAGACAGCTTTCACAGTTTGCGGGACTCAGTCCCATCACTCCAAGGAGAAAAGGTGAGTTTATTAAGAAAGCTGACTAGCCACCACTAACATAGAATTTGCTGTGAGGCTTAGCAGGGCACTCACCTGTCTGGAAAACAGTAGAATCAAGTATATCCAGATGGCATGATTCCCTTATTTTTTGATTCTTGAACCACTTTGAAGGAGCATCATGGATTCTACCTGCTTATTTTATCCTTAGCGAAATAGGTCACATGTGTCACAATGTACATCAGTAGGAAGAGCTCTGGTAGTGTAGTGCATAAGGCATCTGACACTAACCAGAAGGCTAGTGGTTCAAACCCACCAGCCACTCCTCAGAAGGAAGATGGGGCAATCTTTTCCCATAGTGATACTGCCTCGGAAACCCAAGGAGGGCTTCCTGTGAGTCAGATCCAACTCGATAGCAGTGAGTTTGGTTTTGGTTTTTTGACATCAGTGGGAATTGCCTTTTCAAACTAGCATTAGTTTTAATAAATAACCCACACAAGAAATTATTGTAACACTTGTTGTTATGTGCCATTGAGTCGTCTCTGACTCATAGCAACCCCTCCATGGGTTTCTGAGGCGGTATCTCTATAGAAATAGATCGCCCAACCTTCCTTCCGAGGAGTGGCTGGTGGGTTTGAACCGCTAACCTTCTGGTTAGCAGTCAAGTGCCTTAGGGACTATGCCACCAGAGCTCCTGTTATAACTGTACACTGTAGTTTAGAGAGTAGTCCATAGTTAGTTTGGTACAACACTGAAGAGTCCAGAGGTCATCAATACTCTGGACTTCCATGAGAATCTCTTTCATATGGTTCAAAGTTAGTATGTATTTTAAATGAAAACTTACAGAAATGAATGTGAACCAACCTGTACACTAATGATTTTTCAATCCCAAGGGCTATTTCCAAGGAGGGTAAAGAACATTTTAAGCTTTGGAACAAGAGACATATTCATATGAAGGAGAAGAAAAAAGTAACCGTTCTTTCCCCCTGTTCCCTCCTTGTGGGGGCCTTCCAAAAACTATTGTTTTCCTGGAGGGTAGGCACCAGCTGTTTGTACATTTGAAAGCAAAGGTAGAAGCTTTGAGTAAAAGTCTGTGAGTTAGAATTATTCCTTGGAATTTGGAGGAAACATCTGTTTGCACCTTTGACATAGAATGTAGCTGGCTGATCTCTACAGGAATTCAGTGGAATAAATGGCAAACTGGGAACAGGACCTATGTTTTTCTGGTCCAGTGATCCAAAGTTTAAACAAGCAGCTATTTTGTTAAGAAAAATCTTTTCTCTCAGGTGTACTCCCCTGATTTAGCTCTGTAGTGGTGTTCCTGGATCTGTTTGGTTACCCACTGTCAAATTTGGAGCCATTATGCTTTCATTTTGCTTACACTTGTCACTCTGGTAAGTCATGTGCTTGGTCTATTTTATCAGAAGTATGGCTTTCCGTGTGGCTGAAGCATGGATTTGGGTCTGACCTTTATGGGGGTGGTGGTGGTGGTTGTTATGTGCTGTTGAGTCGGACCCAACTTACAGCAACCCCTCTTTGGGTTTCCAAGACAGTATCACTACGGAAGTAGATTGTCCTATCTTCCTTCCGAGGAGTGGCTGGTGGGTTTGGGGGTTGGAGTGTGTGAATACGTAGTATTGCAAAACCCGAATTTGTCATGGGTTAGGCCTACTTAGTGTAGACTTAATTTAATAGCCTTGAACCAAGATACTTACCTGGAATAACAACATTTCTAGACCCAACACTGTCTAAGCACCTCAGGAAATCTTTATGGTGGCAAAAGGGACACACCCTCTTTTAGTCAAAGTGCACACGTGCAAAGGACTATCTGTTGTGTTTGTCTGAACTGTTGGCCAAATCAAAACTCAGACTTACTGCTCTGATCCCTCCTTGCGTTTCTGAGGCAATATTAAGGACGTAGATTGCCCAGCCTTCTTTGGTGCTTATTCCTATACCATGGTATCAATTAAAATCACCTTGGTGGAGTAAATGGAGAAGAGTTGCCTCTCCTAAGTCTTGAATCTAAACAAGAGTGATGCCAAGGCAGTATTCTCAGTTGTGGCCTGTGGACTTATCGACATCACAGTCAACACTGAATCAGCCTTTCTGGAGGCAGGCATGGGAATCTGTATTTATAACAGGCAGTCAGGTGACATTCTTAAGTTTGAGAAAACTTTGAGAGAGACGGGTCATAGGAGCTTAAGTGTACTTTTTTTTTTTTCTTAGCCAGAGTATTTTACATTGCCATAACATTCTTCCTTATGTCCCTATACATTATCCTAAATCCTGTGCTGCCTCCTTCAAGGAAGTTGAAAGTTTTAATTTTGTACCCTTAAAAACAATAGTTGGTCATTTGTTATAACCCGTTTATTTACTCACTCCATTCAACAGATACTTGTTGAATCCTGCTACATGTTGTCAGGTGCTGTTCTATATACTGGGGTATAGCAGTGAACAAAGGAGCTCTGGTAGCATAGTGCCTAGGGCACTTGACTGCTAACCAGAAGGCTGGCGGTTCAAACTCACGAGCCACTCCTCGGAAGGAAGGTTGGGCAGTCTACTTCCGTAGTGATACTGCACATAACAACAACAAGCAGTGAACAAAACAGAAGCTCTTCTGATGAGGAAAAAATAGAAAATGAACTAATAAGTAAAAAAATGTATATAGTGTGTCATAAATGATATGGTGAAAAATTAAGCATCAAAGAAAATTGCCTTTTTAACTCGGGCAAGTAAGAAATGTTTCACTAGTAAGGTGACATTTGAGCAGATATTTGAGGGAAGTAAAGGAAAGAACTGTGTATCTGTCAGGTGATGAGCTTTCTAGGCAGAGGGAAGGCACGTGTAAAAGCCCTGAGGCAGGAACAAGAGTGCATCCTGGTTGTTAAAGGAAAACCAAGAGGCCAGCTGGTTGGAGTGGCAGGAGTGAAGGGAAGGTGGCAGGAGAGAAGGTCAGAGAAGTAGCAGGAATTTGGAAGGGAGGATGGATTCATGGGAAGCTAGATGTTAATGAGCTAGTCAACAAAGCCCTAATTTGGGAATTTACTAGGGGACATTCTAATTTTGGAATCCCCTTGTCCTGTGTGATGATACGATATTTCACTCAAAGAGTGAATAAAGGAAATGGCTATCTGCTCTGGTTGAACCCCAGCTGCCTCTCATCTAAGCAGCTCAGTCTAGCCAGTATTATTTCACAGGTGCAGTGAGTCTAACAGAATACTTTGGTCTCTCAGACTTGCCAGTTCTTGCTAAATGTTGCAGTTTTTTTAAATGTGGGTATTTGAACCAAAGGAAATTGGCTCATGCTGATTTGGATTGTAGTAATTAAAGTTACGATATTATGTAAATAATCACAAAGTGATTGTTTTACTGTTTGAGTTTGGGGAGCTTAGAGCAGATTTTTATAGAAAGCTCCAGTCTCTTGTGACCTGAGCATCTTTGTGTTCCAGGTATCTTCTCACTTAGCATTTAGATTGTCTGTCATATGTGTAGGAGCTTTGGGTAGCGTAGTGCTTAAGGCATTTGACTGCTAACCAGAAGGCTGGCAGTTCAAACCCACCAGCCACTCCTCAGAAGGAAGATGGGGCAATCTACTTTCGTAGGTTGAGAAATCCAAGGAGGGGTTGCTGTGAATTGAAAGTTTTGGTCATATGTGTGCCGAGTCTTGTCTTTTTTTTTTTTTCCAAACCAATGGTGATTAAGTTAGATCTTAACCAAAAATAGGAGATATCTTGTGAAAAAAGCTTTGAGTAGGAGACCCAAACTCCATTTATCCTCTTTCCTATATTTGTACTATAAAATAAGCAACCTAGAGAATGGTTACCTTTTAAGTAAAGGAAAGGGCAATAACAGACATTGTATTACAATGTCAAGTTAAATCTGCACAGTAATTGAATTGGTACAGTTATTGCTGCTGCTGCTGGTGCAGTGGTTAAAGTGCTCAGCTGCTAACTGTAAGGTCAGTGGTTTGAACCCACCAGCCACTCTACAGGAGAAAGATGTGGTCGTCTGCTTTTGTAAAGATTTATAGCCTTAGATACCCTATGGGGCAGTTCTGCTCTGTCCTATAGGGTTTCTGTGAGTTGAGATTGACTTGGCAGCAGAAGGAAACAGGCTCAGGTTCATGCTCCTAGTCTGTAGGGGCCAGGACTAGGATTTCACAACTGATGGTTATCAGCTCCATCTTCCTAACACTCCATGCTGTTGTTGTTGATGCTGACTCACAGTGACCCTATAGAGTAGAACTGCCGCATAGAGTTTGCTTGGCTGTAACCTTTACAGCTCCTCGGAAAGAAGGTTGGGCAATCTACTTCCGTAGTGATACTTTCTCAGAAACCCAAGAAGGGGTCGTTATCAATTGGGTCCGACTTGATGGCATATAACAACACAACAACAACCTTTACGGAGGCAGATTGCCACAGATTTCTTTCACAGGGTGGCTGATGGATTCAAATCACTCACCTTTTGGTTAGCAACCGAGCACTTAACCACTGTTCCACTACCCTATCCATTTCACCTTGTTACCCATTAAGGTTATTACCTGGTCATCTCCAATTTGGCAGTTATTTTCTGCTGAAGTTTCTACATTTTAAGTGGTTACCTGTGGTTGCTTGAGTCTCCCTTAAGCTTTAGGCTTAGAATCTATAAATGTATTTGATTCTTTATACACTGTGTTTGTACTCTGCTGGAAACCTAGAGCTTTTCATTACCCATTACTGGCATTCCATGTTTTCTGAATAAGGTATCCAATTTGCCCTTTTGCTTTTTCTTCTTCTTTCCTACATTAATCCTTTGCTTATTGTAGCACAGTATATACTCTGTTTCCCCAGGAATGTCATTCTCAGCTTATCTGGTTCTTTCTTTTCCTTAAGATCCAGCTCAAGCCTGGTGACATCCACATTTCACATTTAAGGGCACCAGTCACAAGGGCTACCTAGTCCAGTGCATGCTTTCCTGTCTGGTTTATGTGTTTCTCTCTGCCTGGTCCTTCTAGTCCTTGTCTCCAGCTACCTGGCCTTCAAGGC